TCCCTTTATGTCAGCACAATTGTGCCTACAAACTAATGTGTGTCGATTTTGATGCCTTCTATATCGGTCATCTTGCGAAACTTTAACTCGAGCCAAAGAACAGCTTAGGCGCACAAAATAACCACTTGATAATCCTATAGGACTTGATAAACTACAAATTAGATCGGCAATAGCGATGCATGCCATTTTCAATAACTATCAATTCAAATATCGAAATGATACAAAAAGGCTTTTATAACTATGAAAGGCGGGCAGCTGACGCTTTCCACACACTACTAGATCCTACTGCCCTCAATAGATAAGGTCTTACTATTCGTCCGACTTGGACCATCTATCTGAATCACCATGTCTGATTCCATTCACATTCCATACTGTTATTATACATAGAAATTCAACTCTACCCTTTAAAATTACAAATTTCACATTTTTCACCTATCAACAAATAAATACCTAAACATGTCCCACATAAACCACCTCAACCGGAGTAATATGACATTGACATGGTCAGACCTCTTTTTTGATTGATTGTACTAAATATTTTTGTTTTGTCCTTTTGTACTACTTAGACGTTTGTTAGCTCAATTTATAAAGAAAGAAATCCCTCGATAGATCCACAAAGACACATATACGTTCGACACAAATTTATCGTTATATATTAGTTATTAATATGGTCGTTGATACAAGGCTTGTAATGTTGGTTGCCAGGATAGGTTCACACAGCTTATTCTAGCGTTCGAAGAAATCAGTTTATTCATTCATCTTGAGTCACATTTTAACCTTATCAACCATGACTGTTTTTATATATGAACATATGTGTTTGCACGTCTTATCCTATTCATCACGTCTATAACTTATTTTTGTTCGACTATAAATGTTGATTCACGCTTGGTTTGAAGGGGGAGAATGATTATGAATAAAGTGATCTGGTTGCCCACACCGTGGAAGGGTTCATCTAGCGATAACTGGAAATAAAATTGTGTCAAAGGTGGTCCTATTGATCCGAGAACCTGACCACAGTGCCCAAGGGACAACTGCCTGAGGCCGGTCACACACGACCTTTTAGTGAGTAATTTCCGTGTTAGCTCCGTACTTGTTGAGAACTTACCGCCGGAGACGGAAATCCGTGGAATAAGGGGAGGTGTGCATTTTTAGGATCGATCTTTTCTAGCCCCAGCCTTCCTTGAGGGAAGGTAACGTCGCTATTATGCTGGTCGTCTGAAGGAAACACCTTACTGTCGTCACATCCAGTCAGAGATACGACTTCGCCTTCGGGCCGTGGGTTTGCTGCTTTTAGTCTTACCGTTCTTCAGTCAGTCAGCAACAACGTAGAACTTCGAGTGTTCGTCCATCAGTTCAAGTTGCCAAACCACATTAGCACACAGATACAATTGACGATTCAAATCCCGTAGTGGCAGAGGTAGTAAAAGTATAAGCAGTAATCGGAAACATTAGGGTTTGAAGATGTTATTCAAGGAGTATAATCCAGTGAAATAAATTTGGAAAGAGGAAAAAGAAAGGGACATGAAGAATTCAGATTAGAATTTGGGAGAACACAAAGAGTGGATGCACCTGCGCCATAGCGAATGATTTTGGGCCATGTCATCCAAGGTCTCTAACCATCAGTTGCTATCGTCCCGCGGATTCCGACAAGGTAGTCTACACTTACCAACATGGCTCAGTCCACTTGTCAGTGACTTCATGGACTTGTGCCATGTTTTGGTCTGGCCACCCCTAGCTTTCTTCCAATCTACTCCTACACCATAAAACATCGCACGTCGAGGCAGTCGATGGTTGGGCATACGTAACACGTGCCCCAGCCATCTCAACTGATGAAATTTAACTACTTCGTCAATTGATTTGCCATCCTTACCTAGTACCCGCTTTCTAACAGCTGTATTACTTACTCGATGGTCCCACGATATACGAGCGATGCTTCGAAGATACCTATGATCGAATACTAGTAACCTACGGATATCCTCTACTCTTACCGGCCATGTTTCACTGCCATAAAGTAGGACGGAACGAACTGCTGCTCAGTAAACACGTCCTTTGGTTGATAGACGGATATCTCGCCTACGCCATAAATGACGCAAGTTGGCAGAAGCTAGTCGAGCCTTCTGTATCCATGCTGAGATTTCATAACACACCAGACCACAAGGGCTGATGAGGCTTCCAAGATAAGTGAAGCGGTCGACACTCTCAACTACTTCTCTCCCTATCATTAGTTCGGGTGTCAATGCAACCCAATCCGGAAGCAGGATTTTGCATTTCGAGGGAGAGGACTTTGAAGAACGATTGTTCCAGACAGTATAGCTTGTTTAGTTCATTACGATAGGTGTTACCAACGGTCGGGTTTACTTACTTACGCCTGTTACTCCTCGTGAAGGAGCATAGGCCACCCACCAGCACCCTCCATTCAACTCTATCCTGGGCAATCCTTTCCAGTTATTTTTCATCCTTTTCATATCTACTCTCAATTCCCAACGCAATGTGTTCTTTGGTCTTCCACTTTTCCGTTTCCCTTCAGGATTACAAGTTAGCGCTTGCCTCGTGATGCAGTTTGATGATTTGCGTAATGTATGTCCTATCCATTTCCATCGTCGTTTCCTAATTTCCTCTTCAGCTGGGAGCTGGTTCTTCCTCTCCCACAGTAGGTTATTACTGATGCTATCCGGCCATCGGATATTGAGTATCTTGCGTAGACAACGGTCGGGCACACTTGGTAAATTGATTTGGCTCACTCGCTATGATATGGCTTAAAAAGTCCCAACGGTACGTGCGACAGTTCACATTTTTCAAGAAATTCGCTTTCATTATTATTTAGATGAATAAACTAGGTCTAAAATATTTTCTGCATTCACCAATTCAGCTCAAGCAGAAAGCTTAACACCAAACTGTTGTGCAAAACACAGCTAGGTGGAATCTCTTCAATTCACACTATCATTACAGCTTGTGCAATATATACCAAAGTATACACTATCTGTCTTCCCTTAAACTAAGAGATTAAAATCGCTTCATGTCTTTCTTTCTACGAACTAATTCTTTCTTCCTGTACTGTATCCTTATTGCAATCTTTCTTTTATATATTACCACCTCTTAATTAACTACTTTTATGAATCCGGTGTCCATCTTGTTGTGTTAACGTGGTATGGCAACTTGGACCGATGCATATATGTGCCTGGTCCTACGTTGTAGCTGACTGACTGACTAAAAAAAAGAAATAAAGTAGATGAAAAGTAACTACTCTCTATATGTTTGTGCTACACCAAAGTCCAATATTGATTTACAACGAGAATATTTTCAGGTTAAATTACATAAAAAATATTTTGAAAACAAACTAACCACAAAAATAATAATAATAACCAGCATTGTGATTGTCTGTTTATTTGCGAGATATCAGACAAAGCCATGAATCGATAACACATGATAGATTTGTTTACTGTATATCCAAGAGTTCTTTATAAACAGTGTGAAAATTATGTGAATGAATATACTGACTAAAAAAATCGAGATAATTAGTTACTAATAATAACTGAGGCTTTAATATATTGCATGATATAACTGTGATCATAAATTAATAAATTCCTGACACACGATAACATCCAATATTTAATCATTCTATGAACCAACAAACAGTACGCCTACATTCATATTGACTTATCAATTTAGTGAAAACAGTTGGTTGCCTGGATAAATTTATCTTTTTTATAAGAATGATTTCGAAGTTGTAAAAATCTACCACATTGGAAATTACGATTGATTCCAGGGCCTAGCATCACAAATTACCCGATGCAAATATTTTTCGAGAAATCTGAAGCTACAGAGTACAAAACTCATCGCTACCCAGACCCCTTTGTTTGGTTTATGACCACAGAAGCGCGACCTAATAACTGTAGTGGATTGTAGCCTGGAGGGTGTTAAGGTCATTCAATATCGTCAATAGGAAGTTCAAAACCTAGCTACAACTTATATGTTTATCATAAGGACAGGTATGCTTGGGGACCAAACAATAATTTCATTCAACTGTGATAAATTGATCGATTACTGAGATTATTAACCAAATAAAGAGTTGTACGCTTAACTTTGAGGCATAATTCAGATGCGAGGACTAATGATATACTTTGGCTATTGAAACTGAAGTTTGAACATGTTTGGAAGTCGAAAACTACTGAACGATCATTTCAAGGTTATGCCCACTCCTTTAAAAAACGAATATACATACATGAGGAAAAACTGCAATAAATACATTTAAGAATTCCAAAACATTTTTACAGATGTTTATGTTTATCAATGAGTATATATACTGGTTATTTACTCTGATTGCTCTGAACAAAAAAACAACACACGAAAAAAATTATACAATGGGAGCTATCTAACATGTAATTGTTCGGTACAGACAAGAAAGAACATAATTACTACTAGCAATCTGACCAAAAGAGAGAGAGAGGAAGAGAAAAAGATAAGCAATATACGCATATAGAGATAAAATATTCCTGTTGAAACAAATAAAATAATATTGTTGCAAAATGAAAGCAAACATATGGACAGTAATACATACATAAAATGGCTTTAGAAATCAAACAAAAAGCCCAAGGCAAAATCAGAGTTAAGATTAAATAAAGGAAGAAACAAAAATACAACTTTGGTGAATTTGGAAATCACATAATACTGCCTTCACATAAAGGCACTAATTAACAAACAGGAATGATTGAAAAAGATACCAAGTATTCAGTTTAGTCAATGATAAGTTAGTCTTTTGTATTTAAAAGTGATAAAATGTTTATTTATATTTTTATTAAAAGTTTTAAAAGCACCCATAAATGAACTATGGAAGACACTAACAAACAATTGAGAAAAGGGTGTTTAAAATAGAGGATAGATAAGGGATGAAATAGGGTCACAAATAAAAAACAAACATGTAGGTATACTTTTTTTACACTATCCCAGTAACCATATCCTAAAAAAAGATACATATGGATAAACGATAAACGTTTACGGAATTACACTAAGTGTGAATAATAGTCAAAATTAGAGAAATTTAACTGATCTGCATCTAGAAGAGGCGGACGTTGTTTAGTTGGTGTAAGAACTGCTTTTTCCCTGGTGAATTCTTCATCGAAATTTGAAACATCTTCAGGACCAGACTGGAATTAAAATCACAAAAGAGACATGATCAATCAAAAGGCTTGAAGTATGTTGAACTTAACGAAAGATAAAACACTTGTATAAGACTTAGCAGGAATTTTTAGGAATGAACGTAAAATCATACTTATATATGGAGTTAATGAGGAACCAATATTACAAAAATAAGGGTTCACTATAGTTGATCTACTGTGTTTAAGGAGAAAGAACTGTAATAATTGTTACGACATTCCAATGAAGCGATAAATTTTTAACCAATATTCAATATAAATATCAAATAACTTACAACAACAGGAACAAATGGTGGTTTTATTTTTTGCGCCAAGAGAGCTTGGAAATCTAGTTTACGGAAGAATGGTTGTCTTTTAATTTCTTCCGCATCTTGAGCTGAAGATCCTAAACGCTGTGCAGCATTCCGACGAAGCAGGCGCCCCATTATTAACTTAGCTTCCATGCTCAAATAATTAGGGTAGCAAACGCTTTTATTAACAATGCTGTCAAAAATTTCTTCTTCACTTTCACCAGGGAAGGGGCACTAAAAATAGAAAAATGATTGTCACAAGAACTTTAGAAAGTTAGGAATTTTAATATTAAGATTATTTGTGGTTATCAACTAAAAGCACCGAACCCTTCCTGATTTGGAAATATCGATGTAAATATATATTTTTCCCGTGATATAGATTAACCAGACGGATTTAAAACAGATAAAGACCAAACACCCAAAATATAAATTTTTATTGTGCTTACTTCGCCGACGAGCATCTCGAAAATGAGAACACCCAAGCCCCACCAATCTACAGCACGTGTGTACGAAGAATCTGTGAGAACTTCAGGGGCCAAAAACTCCGGCGTCCCACAGAATGTGGAAGTTCGATCATCTGGACCCATGCCTTCCTTACATAAACCAAAATCAGCCATCTTTACAAAACCTTCCGAATCCAACAACAAGTTATCCAGTTTCAGATCTCTGAAATTCGTTGATATAAACAAATAATTGTAACAGAGAATTTACAACAAACACGCACATATAAAGTCAATATGAAAGTAAAAGGCGTAATAAATACCCTGAAACTGTGTACGTAAATAACATAAAGGATCTGTATCATTCATAACAACTAAAATAAAAGTCCCTATCAAATAGAAAAGTGTATAACAATCATCGCAAAATACTTTTTGGTTGCTAGAAAGACATTAAGCAGTGCCAATAATATAGTAGTATTTAGTTCATCGATTTTAATGAAAACTCAGGTTGTTTGAGCATGAGGGACTACATGATAAACCTACAGAACATTGAGCAGGATTCAATTACTGGTGTGATTATATTCGACGTAGTAAACAAAGAGAAACATCAAATGATTCAAGGTTAATTTATTTTAATATTTTAACTACAACTATACAATAGAAATAACAAAAATCTCACACATTTAGTGACATCCAAGTGCTTATTATACTACCAAAGAGAGGCAAACTATGTTATACCATCTGAAGAAATTCGTCATAGATTCCTATTTACGTAAGAACATTCTTGTCTCTTAGAGAAACATTTGACAGTGCGTGAACTGAGAAGTCAGACAAAAGTTTCTAACTTGACGGGAAGCATAAGACACAAATTTCGTGTTCAGTAACACTCATTAAAAAAAAATGAACTGAATTTCGTTGTTGACGACCATTAACTATTACAGAATGTATATACAAGGCTTCTTGTTGATAGCCTCATTGTAGATATCATTTTCAGTTCATTCGATATTATTCCAATAATGATCAATATGAAATATTGTGAATTCAATGTAAACAGTAAACATTGTTTATCTCCTGTTTGCATCAACAAATATACAAAGTAAATTAGTTCATCAGAAACCTTAACTTAACATTTTAAACAGAGAAATTTCTACAATATTATATATTTGTTATTCCAATCTGAATATTGAAGTCAAACAACAGTGAATAATATTTGCTTATTATTTGTCATAGTTAATGATGTTTACAAATTGGTAAGAATTTTTGTTGTTGTCAAAACCAATAAAATACAACTAGACAATAATTAATCATTCAGAATGGATGACCTTAAAAATAATTCACACTACCGATTGCTAGTATGTTTAAATGACAGACTACCATATTAGATCAATCAGATTAATGGCCAAATTACAACTTGATCGATAGAATTTAAACAGTGCTAAGAACAATAAAAAAAACTTAACATTGATTTTATTACAGTTGAATGAATAATCAACTTAGTGATTAACTTCTGTGAAATTATTTTGATGAACCAATAAATCCTTGTTCAATAAATGACAAAACTAATATCATTTCAAAATGGCTAATAATAAATCATTAAGGAGGAAGTAAATTCTTTCGCTGAGATTTTACAAATACATTCTTCCTCTTTAATGAGTCACATTAACTCGGCGCCCAAATATTTTGAAATTGTTCGTTCAAATTTAGATGAAAGTTCTTATTTATTGTCTAATAATAAGATTAAATCAAATCAAAATAAATTGATAAAACTTTATAACCTTATATGTAGTCAATGAAAGTAAGATTTGACATAAACAATGTATTTTAATAATGTGAATAAAGTTTTAGATAAATCTAGACAGAAAAAGTAACTTTATACATTTGGTTTTTATAATTAAACTGAAAAGATTAAGATTAAGATCGAATTTGCACAGTAAATTTAATCTATGTTATTTATGTTACATGTTTCTCAAGGATTGCATGAACACTGAATAAATGAATAAATAAATAAATAAACAAATAGGTATTTTATAAAGTTAAACAAACTAGTAAATAAGACACTAGAACGCCAGAACCTAGAAATTAAACTCGTGTTAGTAAAGCAATGAGATGAATAGTAATAGATGAGTAAGCAATCATGTAGGAAGTATGTTAGTTACATTTTAGTTTTAGATAATACACTATCTTCGATATATCGATGATCTATTTAAGTTTAATGGCATTTTACACCACCAACTTATAACTGAGTGTAAATAAGAGAAAGTAAGGTGGTGTATCTCAGCATTACAGCATCTATTAGGAACCAAATTTGAATCGGTGATAGATTATAATGGTTTTTAGTCAAAAATAATGACGTTTCCACTATCTGCGAAAGTATTAACTTAAACTGAAAAATCAAGTGAGTTCTCTTGGAGTATCGAAGAAAATCACGGTACATGGGACAATTGTAGACGTTAATTCCTATTCATTTGTCTTCAATATATGATATCCCGTTAACTGAGTATTTTAGCGACCCAACTCTCCCTACTAGTACTGTGACTATAATTAATATTCAAAATCCAGAACAGTTGTCGGGAAAGTGTATTGTTAATAAATAATAAAATCCGTAAGCATTCAAGATTCAAAGCACACTGGGAAGTTAGTGAATGTGTATGTAAAAACTCGAAAAATCTATGAGTGTTAATCAATTATGGGTAAGTTATTGATTGTGTCTGTGTTTACAACCAATGGGAGGGTAGACATTCTGTAGCTATCATTCTATTTGTATCATTAAGAAAAATAACAAATTGAATAATTTTTTAGAAGTCATTACCAAGGCTTGACTTGATCATTTCAAATAAATTGGGCGTTTGGGTAGGTTGTTATTCATAAAAATAATATATTTGTAATATCCCAATGAGTAGCAAAATGAAATTTGTTCTCCGAAGAAGTGGCTTACACTGAATCACGAAACGTCAGAAAACTTTCGTTTTTCTACTCATCGGTGTATTTACAAATATATTATTTTAATTCAATTGAATAATCTATTCTTTGTAAATAAATAAAATCAAATGACATAAAATTAAGACTGTAAATGTGACTATAATGAACAGAAAAATACAAATGTGATTACCGGTAAACAATTTTTTTTGAGTGAAGGAATTCGATACCTAAAACAACACATCCAGCATAAAACACAGCTTGAGGTTCTTTAAACACATTTTTTTGAATAAGTGACATGAGATCACCACCCTGTGCATACTCCATCACAAACATTACGTGTTCCTGATAACAAATGAAAACAAAGTAAATAATAAGTTATATCTGACAAGAAGTAACAATAACTGAAAATCAATAATGATTTATACCAGAAGAAATAGAATTGAGTTCATGTAAACCAACACAGAAAACAGAATTCATTTGTAATATATAATAAACGTAAACATTAAATAAAATTATTTGAAATACAGTATACTTTAACATTAGTAGGTGTACAAAAGACATAGATTTACAGATGTTATCTCTGGATGACTCTTTCCAGTTGACTAGAGAATGCTTAATTCGAAAATTTTTCTTATATAACCAGCTCACTAAATCTTTTGAGAAGTGTTGTATAAAGCAGTAGCTGTGTGTGAAAGAGGTGGTAAATTAATTATAATATTCAATTTGAATGGTATATTTTTGTAGACAGATTCAATAGGTGAAGTATGGGAATTGTTTATAAATTTTTCATAACAGTATATTTAAAAGCTTCACACAATAATTCTTATTGATAAATTTTAGGAAAAAAGCTTATATCAGTTCCATCACAGGCCATCAGAGCCAAGCTATTGAGATAAATGTCTATAAAATTTTCGAACCTCACATTTTGAATATGTCTGTAAAAAATGTCAATGACTTCCAAATACTTAGTCACATCCCAATTCATGAATGTCCCCCAGTATTTACATTGTTCATCGTTAAACTTATCATTATTATTATTATTAATATTATTATTATTATTAGTTAGCATGTTTATTGATTTGTGGTTGCTTGCCATTCTTTCCAACTGTTAGTAAACGGAACTTATGTCAGTACGTTTGCCGGCTAGTACTTTGCTTGAGAGCTAAGTTTGATAAATAATATGACATTTTGTTTTGTATATTTTTAAACTTAATCAAAATTCACTATTTTCTAAATACCCATTACGTTTCAGTGGCGGTTGATAATAATAAAGGCGAAATTGGTCAATGTAAGGTTTAGCGTTTACCGCAACTGAGAAAATATTATTTATGGTACACAGTTTAATGGACGCAACAAACAACCGGAAAAAGATGAATATTATCGAACCAGACGCATATGTGCATTGGTTCCAGTTAACATACATCATTAGCACAGTGAGATGAAATTATTTGGAAACAGATACCAGAGTAGCAGAAGTAGTAACGATATCAGTAGCATTGGTAGTACAAGTAGAAACGATTAGGTACTGAAAAAGTGTAAGGAAAGGTCGGGATTCAAGAACTTATGGAAGTCAAACAGTGAATGCAACTGAGCCACTAACAACGATTTTCAGTCACGTCACTCGGAGTCTCTAACCATTGGTTACCGTAATCCCACAAACACCAACTACGTGCTCTCCATCCACGTAACCTCCTTCCAGCATACTACTCCTACATCGTCCGTTCAAGTTGTCATTGGTTTCAAATACAAAATACATCTCCGAATCACCTCAGTCCATGAAGTTTCACTAATTCGTCAGTCCATTCGCCGTCTTTACCCAGTACCCATGTCTAACCTCGACACTGTTCATCACTCAGTTGTCCCAAACTACATGAGCGACGCTCCGAAGATCGCACCTGAGATCGAATACTAGTAAACCACAAATAGCCCCTATTTTTAATGCTCGTGCTCCATACATCAGTAATGTGGAACAGAGTGAACTGCTGCACAAGAAACTTGTCCATTTGTTGGCAGATGGATATCTATCCCAAGTCATAAGTGACGCGATTTGGCAAAGACCCACTAAGCTGTCTGAGTCTGTACCGAGATTAAGTCATGCACCAAATCAGTAGAGGTGATGAGACTTTCACGATAAGAGAAGTGGTATATGCGCTCAACCACGTTTATTACTACTTCAGGCGTTGGCACAGACCAGTCATGAAGCGGGATAGTATTGAATCCCAAACATGCTAACAGTGCCGTTCAAGATGATCAAGAGACTGGCTATTGTCAGTATCTTCACCGGACAGCACTATGTTATCTGGATATCTTAAATCAATAACTGAATTTCCTGATAAAGGATATATTGTCGAAGACTTGAACGATGAAAGAATTATTTCTAAAGAATTTTATGGTGAAAATAAGTGAAGATGAAAAAAGTGCAGCTGAGAGCCTAAACAAGGTTGATGTATGTCTTTGATACGGCTTAGTCAAGCGCTGGATGTTGACGCCGATATTGTAGATAGTAACATTAGCCAACCTGATTCCTGTAACAACAGAATTTTCGTTCTTTCCTGTAGACTTGGACGATCAGAGATCACGACCATTCAGATGGGATTATGTCCAATCCCCAGCCTCTTATTAGTATCGCAGGTGGTCCCGACCGATGTTGCTACCTTGACGAAGTGGTCGGGCTTGCCTATCATCATGAAACAATCGAGGCATACTGGAACAATCTTTCCTCGAGGTCCTACCATGCCAGACAGCTCGGTTCAAGAACGGTAAGACTAAAAGCAACAAACCCAAGGCCCGAAGGCGAAGTAGTACTGCAGACTGTACAGAGGTGTGACAGCAGTAAGATATTTCCTTCAAACCGCCAGCATGACAGCGATGCTGCCTTCCCACAAGGAGTGGTGTGGTTATAAAATGGCGATCCTAAAAATGCACACCTCCCCTTATTCCACGGATATCCATCTCCGGCGGTAAGGTCTCAACAAGTACGGAGTTAATAAGAAAATTACTCACAAAAAGGTCGTGTGTGACCGACCTCAGGCAGTTGTCCCTTGGGCACTGCGGTCACGCTCTCAGGTCATTAAGACCACTTACTACTTACTTATTTACGCTTGTTACTCCTCGTGAAGGAGCATAGGCCACCCACCAGCATTCTCCACCCAACCATGTACTAAGCAATCCTTTCCAGCTCCTTCCGGTTTTATTCATCCTTTTCATATCTGCTTCTACTTACCGACGTAATGTGTTCTTTAGTCTTCCACTTTTCCGTTTCCCTTCAGGATTACAAGTTAGCGCTTGCCTCGTGATGCAGTTTGACGATTTGCGTAATGTATGTCCTACCCATTTCCATCGTCTTTTCCTAATTTCTTCTTCAGCTGGAAGCTGGTTTGTTCTCTCCCACAGAACGCTGTTACTGATGGTATCCGGCCAATGGATGTTGAGTATCTTGCGTAGACAACCATTTATAAAGATTTGTATCTTCTTGGTGGTGGTTGTTGTAGTTCTCCATGTTTCAGCTCCGTACAGTAGAACTGACTGTCTTGACGTTCGTATTGAAGATTGTGACTTTGATGTTGGTTGAAAGTTGTTTTGAGTTCCATATGTTCTTCAGTTGTAGGAATGCGGCCCTTGTTTTGCCAATCCTCACCTTTACGTCTGCATCTGATCCTCCTTGTTCATCGATGATACTTCCCATGTGTGTGAAGGATTCTACATCATCCAGAGTTTCGCCATCAAGAGTGATTGAATTGCTGTTCTCCGTGTTGTATTTGAGGACCTTGGTTTTCCCTTGTGCGTCTACTGTGTTTTTCATCCGGTTCAGCAACACTCTGTTGAAAACAGTAGTGTGATGCCTCTGTAGTTCTCACATTTGCTCGGATCTCCTCTCTTCGGAATCTTGATGAGATGTCCTTCTTTCCAGTCCATCGGCACTTGTCCATCCTCCCAAATCCTTTTGAATAGAAGGTAAAGCATGCTTGTGGTTGCTTCGATGTCTGACTTCAGTGCTTCAGCTGGTATGTTGTCGGGTCCTGCTGCTTTCCCGCTCTTGATTTGTCTGACGGCCATTCTGATTTCTTCCGTGGTTGGTGGACTGACATCTATAGGAAGATCTGTGTGTGCTGCTTCGATGTCCGGTGGATTCATTGGAGCCGGCCTATTCAGGAGTTCCTCGAAGTATCCTACCCATCTGTTACGCTGTTGTTGAATTTCAGTGATTGGCTTACCTTCTTTGTCTTTGACCGGCCTCTCTGGTTTACTGTATTTCGCTGAGAGTTTCTTCGTTGTATCGTGAAGCTGTTTCATATTTCCTTCTCCAGCAGCTTTTTCTGCCGTCGTTGCTAGTTCTTCCACGTACTTCTTCTTGTCGGTTCTAATGCTCCTCTTCACTTGTTTGTTTGCTTCTATGTATTCAGCTTGTGCTTGGACTTTCTCTGTTCGTGTTCGGCTGTTGTTAATTGCTGTATTCTTGTTCTTCCTTTCTTTGATCCTGTCCAGTGTTTCTATAGAGATCCATTCCTTATGATGGTGTTTCTTGAGGCCCAGAACCTCTTGACATGTTGAAGTTAATTCTTCTTTGATACTTTTCCAGTTGTCCTCCATACTAGTTTCTTCTTCTTTCAGTAGATCTTGTAAGGCTTGAAACCTGTTGTTGAGAGCTATCTTGAATTCATTGAGTTTGTCAGTATCTCGAAGGAAGGCTGTATTGGACCTTTGTAGTGCTGTTTGTCCAGTTGTCCAGTTTTTCTTTAGCTTCAGTTTTAAATTGGCCACAACTAGGTGGTGATCTGAAGCTATGTCAGCTCATCTCCTGGTTCTCACATCTTCCATTGTCCTTCGGAACTTTTTATTGATGCAAATATAATCTATCTGGTTCTCTGTAGTGTGATCCGGTGAGATCCATGTAGCTTTATGTATACGTTTGTGTGAAAATATTGTGCCCCCTATGACCAATTTGTTGAATGCATATAGATTTGCAAATCTTTTCTCATTTCCGTTTCTCTCTCTCAGTCTATGTCGTCCCATGATATCTTCATATCCGGTGTTGTCTATTCCGACTTTGGCGTTTAGATCTCCCATCAGAATGGTGAGGTCCTTTCTTGGGCACTTAGCTATGATCGATTGCAGCCGCTCGTAGAACTGATCTTTAGTGTCGTCGTTGCTATCATTGGTGGGTGCATAACATTGGATAATATTCATTAAGATCCCCTCCTTCTTTGTTTTGAATGATGCTTTGATGATTCTGGATCCGTGAGATTCCATCCTACAAGTGCATTTCGTGCTACTTTGGACAGCATTAGAGCAACTTCCTGAGTGTGTGGAGCATTTTCCTCTTCGTGACCAGAGCATAACAGCATCTCTCCCATATTTAGCCTTTGTTGTCCAGCTTGTGTCCAATACGTTTCGCTGATTCCCAGTACTGCCAAGTCGTATCTCCTCATTACCGTTGCTGGTTTTCCCGGTCTCCCACATTGTCCGGACGCTCCATGTACCCATAAAAATTGTTGCTCTGGTTGTTAGAAGGGCCATCGACCTCGTGGCTTCCGAAGGAACTCGGCTTTCACCATGAGGCGTCATAGTTCTTCTAAATGAAGACCTTCTAACTCCCAGGGCAGAGTTTAAATGGTTTGAACTATTTTTTCTGGTTAGCGTTTTTTTAGCGAGTTAGCCTTCTACGGGATGGGGTCGCTAACCCCATGCCCAACCCTCCTCCTTTACCCGGGCTTGGGACTGGCAGTAACTCTAGAAGAGTTACAGACCACCTCTAATCAAATTTCCTTTTCAGGTACCTCCAGAAGAACCCTTCCACGGTGTGGACAACCAGGAATTGATAACCGCCTTCACACCTCTAACAGCACTCAAGACCACCGTTGATCGCAGGTGATGTAACTGTTAAAACTGGACCACCATTTTTGGAGATCTTTGAGGTTAATCTACTAGGATCTGCTACTCTCCTTGCTTTTGACTAGTTACATTATTTCCAGCCTCACTAGCAGTTGGGGGACTGAGGTCGATTTTCCATTCAGATTATTTGTTTTCGCTTTCAATCGTAATCAGAGCCTGAGTTTACAAGAATCTATCAGCGCAATAGACTTAGCAGAAATGAACTGGTTTTTCGTAACCCTTTGGTTTAAATCACTAATAGATGTCGCTGCTCTTTCTACAGCAGTTCGTAAATCTTACCAAGCAATATCTGGGTCAGCTTCGTTTCAGAACTGCTTAAATGTGACCTCAGTTGTTAGCCTTACTATGCAATAAGCTAACAGGTAAACTAGAGATCGAGTGGAAGTAACATTTGTCACCAGTTTTAATGTGCATAAGTAGAAAAGGGTAATAAATCAAGTTGTTTAGATGAGCATTTTTGGAGCAGTGAATGGAGATTACTTAAATCAAAATAAGTTGACCTGAGAAATAATATTTAAAAAACAATAACTGGGAAAGTATTGAAAATAAGTGATAATTAACTAACATCTTGGGGACAATACGATAGATGAACAACGAAACGACTATTGATTATTAACGAAACTAAGAGATACAATACACGAAAAACTGAAACATAAAGGGTAAGCAATGAAAAAGTAGCTCTCACTCTATATCTGTGAATCACTGGATATAAAAGTAAAAAACACAAGTAAACTACAAGTATTTGCTCACAAGTGTCTTGGAAGTACTGTATAAATAGGGTGAATTAAAAGTAAAAAGAGCAAATATATTGATGACACTATATATCTCCATCAACTGAGGTGTTTAGGACATATTCTACTTAGGTGGAACCGTCTGCATTAAGTGTAGCACACAGATTAGCAAAATCACCTTAACCAATCCTATGCAAACCAAAGGATGAAATGACAAAGCAAGAAAAATCCGAATATCATCCACAAAATTAAGGTTCAACTGGGAAAATCACTATATTGGACAAAGTGGACGCCCCCTTCACCTTCGCCTGCACGAGCATCAATTAGCAGTCAAATGCCATGGCATATCCTCGCTTATATCAATGCATGTGGACAACTGTGAATACAAATTTGACTGGAAAAATGTTGAGACCTTGGATAGAGGCAATTCTAAAAACACCAACGAAGTTTTAGAAGCTTGGAACTCTGGTCAATCAGCAAACACATTGAAATGAATCTGATGTATCAACCAATCAGAAAAATCATGGACAAATATAGGACCAAAAAGATGCAATCAAAATAGAGAAGTAGACAGTGACAGGTTAAAGGTCAACAACAATAACCAATCAAGATCGGGGTTAACAGGACAAGCTGTGAGTCATATGTGAAGGAATTCGAGCACTTCACTTCTACCCGAAGTTTGTGCTGATGATGTCGTTCAGAAGAACGATGAAAGCTCCACGACCAAACCATCCAGCTCAGAGAAAAAACTTCACTTAGATCATCCACCTGAGCTACAAATCTCCACCTGTGCTACTTATGCTTAACCACCACATAAACGAATATGCAGTGCTGGGTAGCATAGAGTAGGTTGGAAAATAACTAAGAAAGAACATGTTAAGATATGATACCAATCTATCAAGTCGTCAATTGTTAATAAAGATCGTGTGGATAGGTTAAAACTTACAGATTGAGACCCTCGCAATACGCATAATACATATTTGAATGTATATATGAATGAATTACCTATAACTATCTAAGTATCGTTCGTAACTAATAATTCTCTCATCTGTTTTCTTCCTCCTGTACTTTCTCTTATTTTTTGATACCCACTGCAGTTCGAATTGAGTGTTCTCCATTCCTTTTTTGTTGATATTATTATCATTTATAGCTTTATTCAAAATTACATTTTTGGTACAATACAGAATTCTCAGCACAAAGTATTTCGACAATTCTCTTTTCCTTATTTCTTGACCGACCCTTCCGATAAATATTCAGTGGTCACCAGTTATATGTTAGCAGTTCAGGAATCGACATCTGAATAATGTATATTATTTTCGATGCACATTTCCAGCAACCGCGATGTCTCTGATTAGGCTCTTTTGTAAGTTTTGCATCGAAAAGTAGTACACATTTCACAAACGCACCTGAATAGGTTATGAGACAAATAGGCATAAGGATGTGTTAAAACAAACAAGAAAACAGATAACTTGTTGGAATATCCAGATGGCGGGAACAGGTAACCCAGGTATTCAAGCAGGCTGCCTCATGTGGTGTGACAACCTGAAGGGATACATGTTTGCACAAGATTCTACATGAACTATGGTCAAGACTAACTGAAATATAAATGAAAAATAGGACTTACCTTTGTCTGGAAGCAGGCAATCAAGTTTATGAGGAAAGGATGTTGTGCATCGGTAATAATTTGCAAAATGCGTTTTTCTGTCAATAATGTATCGACCTCATTACGAAAGATTATCTCCGCCTTCTTTAAAGATTTTATAGCATAGTACTTATTATCTCGGTGGTATTGCGACAGCAATACTTTGCCGAAATGACCACGCCCAAGTACAGCCACAGTGCGGAAATCAATCATACTGAGTATTGTTGTGGATTTGTTTGATGATACTATGAATCAAAGGCAATTAAAAACAATTAAATTAGCGAAAACGGTAGAAATCTTGAAAATATGGAAGAAACAATAAAAGAACGAATGTAAACTTATTAACATGTGCAATGCACATTGAACTGAATATATAACATTATTAGAAGACCAAGTAAACCGAGGGTGATTGTGCTATGCACAGCAAACAGCTTAATTAAAATTTAAAGTAAGCAATAACTATAAGGTGGAAATCCTAACTAATGTTTCAAGCAAACTGTGGTCGGGTATCTAATCACTTTCTACCATTCATTAACTTGGAAGTCAAATTTGGAAGCAAAAAAGTTATGAAATATGTGTTTGGAATACAAAAGTAATTGAGATTAGTATGTTATCATTAATCGCAAGACCTGGCTTGACAGTCCTAAATAAACCGAAAAATAGATAGTCTGTTTGCGGATTATCTACTCGTTCCTGTTACTAATTTATTTGTCGTAAATACCACCAACCTAACCAACTGGATACATAACCCCAAAAAGTAAACTTTAAGTCCGATATGTTTATCGATTACTACTCATAAAAATCAATAGAAAACTTGGCTGCACTAAAAATGAACTGTAAGGGTTGAAGCTATCACGAGTTCACTTAATCTGCGAACGAGAAACAAGACTCGGTGACCAAAGACCAGTAAGTTAGCTATTGATGCCTCCCAGCCCCGCTAACTAAGGGGAGAAGTTCAAGCTTGGAATGGGGAAGTATATTCTGCAAACAGCCAGAAACGAGCGGTGAAAACAAACACAATTCAAAACGTATATATAAAGTACAAAACCGTCCTTGGGGAGAGCTACCAAATACCATATTAAAAGACCCAACGGATCAATAGCATTTAAGATATTTGCCAGTGGGAAATACGACATGAAGGTGACAAGAGCGCCTTTGGCGTGAAAACAAAGAAATTCAAATTTTCTAAATAACATTACAAAATTAGGTCCTTTCCCAAGTGAGTTCTGGGGATCTAACGTCCCCAACATGAACCTAGTTATGAACACAGCTAGAATACGACCAGAAAATTTTCCAATCAGATTATCCCAAACAAAGCTAGATAATGCACAAAACTTACATTCACTAAAAATTTCGGATGCTGCAGTACGCGGAGACTCTGAAGTAGGAACATCTTTATTTTCTTTTTCTGTTGATAATACAACAGGACCAGAATTAGATCGTTGCACATCCATATTAATATAGTCTGCAGTACGATAATCGACGTCCTTCTGACCTATAGATATCATTTCCGTAGCACCAAGGTCTTCTGGATTGGCGTAGTCTGAAACACGGGACGGAGTAGGGGGTTTGCGGGAGCTACTATCCATGTCATATTCGATGATAACTGGCGCAACATCGTAGTCCGGCGAAAATGAAGAGTCGATCCCAGTAGCAGGTGCATGATGATGGGGTGTCGATGAGTAGTCATTAATGTCATCAGTCAAAAGAGACTAAATGAATCAAAAAATATTCGAACATTTTATAAAATATCTTAATCAAAGTATAATAAATCCAATTTTCAAAAGTAATACCAGTTATGATTATTAATATAGATTAGAAATAAGGTATAAAAACAGGGATACACAAGAAACAGTAATCTAAGGACCACCAAAGCAGCAACCCAACTGTGTGAAAAGTTAAAAGAAAATTCGGATCAGAATGATATCACTCAGCACCAGTATATGACAAAAAATAAACATATGAAACTTTGTTCGGGTTATTATTATGCCATGCGAATTTGCAAATTAATGTCAAGAAAATTTAAAAACAAAAAAGCTTTCACATTGAGTTTTAGCTGCCTCATTGATCTTTTTATCTCGACCCAGAAATTTGTATAACAGGGGTTGAAAAATTCCCAAATCACTCACTTTTTTACGTAGGGTTTTTATTTCCGTTTCAGTTAATGTAATATTTTTTTCCCGTAAAGCACCTGGTTCACGAATAATTGTAACTAATGGACGCTGTTGAATAATCGTATCAGTGATATTGACTGATCTGGTGGGGAAGGCAGATGGCGATTCTCGATATTTAGAAGTATTTAAATGAGATTTGCCATTAAAAGCCTACATATATGCAAGCAAATTCAAAATAATAAAAACCTAAAAGACTAAGGAAAAGATTGGTCACCTTAATAATCATAAATAACAAAAATAAGCAATAAGCTATACACCAATATGTTTTATCATCAATATCATCATCTGATCATTAGAAATCTCAGCGATCTTCACAAATTTTCAGTATGAAGTGATTTTCTGTGATAAATGCATTCTCCAAGTTGAACATCATCATAGTACAGAAATAAAGACAAGACATATAGTTTTTTTCTATTTGAACAGTGAGTAATATACATTTATGGCATACTAAGAATCATACAGAGTAAGCTATGAAACTGATGTTGAAACAAAAAAATTGGTTCACAACATCATGATAAAAATATGATATAGGAGTGACTCAAAATTAAAATAGCTAGGCAATATAAAGCAGAAATTAACAAATTTAGGAACTCCATCTCTATAGGTATGGGAGAGAAGAATCAAAGTCTATACAATAGTGTTTCAAGTATTTACAGAACAATAGATTTATAATTATGGGTACTTTAAAACACTACGCAGATAGGTAGAGCTGTCCATAACAGTACATATAAGTCGGTGGGATTACAAACGCATTCAAAACATATCAATAATTATGGGAATTTGTTCACCCTATTTTTTATTCACAGTGGAAATATCAAGCAAGTGAAAAACTCCACTTAAAGTAATTAGTGATGTAAACCAACGAACAAACAACACAGTTTCACGAGCATGTCAGTCTTATGATTAAATCTCAGGCCGAAATACAGTAAGTCAGTCAGTAACAACGTAGAACTTCGTACGTACGTACACCAGTTCGAGTTGCCACACCACATTAGCACAGAGATGCAGTGGTCGATTCAAATCCCGTAGTGGTAGAGGTGATAAGCAGTAATCGGAAAGATTAGGGTTTGGAGATGTTATTTAAGGAGTATAATCCAGTGAAATAAATTTGGAAAGAGGAAAAAAAGGGACATGAAGAATTCAGAAGATTAGAATTTGGGAGAACACAGAGAGTGGATGCACCTGCGCCATTGCAAACGATTTTGAGCCATGTCATTCAGGGTCTCTAACCATCGGTTGCTATCATCTCGCGGTCCCCAACCAGGTAGTCTACACCTACCAACATGACTCAGTCACTTGTCAGTGACTTCATGGACTTGTGCCATGTTTTGGTCTGGCCGCCCCTAGCTTTCTTCCAACCTACTCCTATACCACTGAACATAGCACGTCGAGGCAGTCGGTCGTTGGGCATACGTAACACGTGTCCCAGCCATCTCAACTGATGAAGTTTCACTACGTCATCAATTGATTTGCCATCCTTACCTAGTACCCGTTTCCTAACAACTGTGTTACTTACTCGATGGTCCCATGATATACGAGCAATGTTTCGAAGACACCTATGATCAAATACTAGTAACCTACGGATATCCTCTACTCTTACCGGCCATGTTTCACTGCCATAAAGTAGGACGGAACGAACTGCTGCGCAGTAAACACGTCCTTTGGTTGATAGACGGATATCTCGCCTACGCCATAAATGACGCAAGTTGGCAAAAGCTAGTCGAGCCTTCTGTATCCGTGCTGAGATTTCGTCACACACCAGACCACAAGGGCTGATGAGACTTCCAAGATAAGTGAAGCGGTCGACACACTCAACTACTTCACTCCCTATCACTAGTTCGGGTGTCGATGTAACCCAATCCTGAAGCAACATTTTGCATTTCGAGGGGGAGAATCGCATCCCGAACATGCTTGCATTGTTGCTTAGAGTGGTCAGAAGACTCTGCATTTTGTCAGCGTCTTCACCAAATAAAACTATGTCATCAGCATATTCTAAGTCAACAAGTGAACCTCCCGGTAGAAGTTCAACCCCTGGAAATTTAGATGAGGAGAGTGTTATCTCTAAAAGTACGTCAACGACAAAGTTGAACAAGAATGGGGAGAGTGGACAGCCCTGACGAACACCACTTGAGGTAATCAATTCTGATGACAGTTCGCCATAAGCTCTCACTCGACCAGTTGTGTTCGAGTAGAGAGCCTTTATAAGGTTAATGTACTTCTTTGGTACTCCTTTCAGTGACAAACACTGCCATAGAACCTCACGATCAACAGAGTCGAATGCCGCCTTAAGGTCGAGAAATACTACCATTGTGGGGCGTCTGAATGTGTGTCTGTGTTCTAGAACCTGACGTAGTGTGAATATCTGATCTATACAACCACGTCCAGGTCGAAAACCAGCCTGGTTTTCTCTAGTCTGCTCTTCACGAGCTTTAGTTAGGCGTCGAAGTATTATTGAAGCTAATATTTTAGACACTATATTAGTCAAACTGATTCCTCTGTGATTGTCACAAGAGGACTTTTGTCCTTTCTTATAGACTGGCACAATCAGTGATTGAGACCAGTCAGATGGGATTACGTCCAGTTCCCAAATTCTACCTAAGACCTCAGTTAATCTCATTGCTAATACTGGACCACCATCCTTAAAAATCTCAGGAGTAAACCTGTCAGGGCCTGCTGCTCTCCCTCGTTTCAGATTTCCTATGGCTTTTTCAACTTCGTAAAGGGACGGAGGACCTACATTAACTTGCCATTCAGGTTGACTGGAGATCGTGGGAAACCGAAGTGTGGCTGAAGGCCAGTTGAACTGATCCCTAAAGTGTTCTGCCCATCGATCCAATCTCCTGGATTGAGAATGAATAATATGTCCATCTTTCTCTGAGATTGTTTCGCTAACGGTCGGTTTCCTTAACGAGTCTGAACAATTGTCTGCTATTACCTATTGCCGCTGCCTTTTCCATCTCTCTTGCTTTCGCTACCCACCACTGTTCGCGATCATTGCGTAGACTTCTTGTCAGCTTGCGCTTAAGCTGACTCCGCTCTTCATTATGTTCAGAGCCAGGTGGAATGAGTTTCCGAGCATCTATCAGTGCGATAGATGCTGCTGAGATCCAGTGTTGCTCCCTAACCTTCTGGTTTACCTTACTAGCAGATATCACTGCTGTTTCCACAGCTTTTCGGATATCATTCCATGCTGCATCGGGGTGGGCATCACATACATGGCTGCCTAACTGTTTTCCTAGTTGTTCCTGAAATATACTCTTAGCTTGACTATCATTAAGTAGGCCCTAAGAGGTTTCCTTGCAGCGTCTTTCCTACGTCCAGTAAGACGCAAGCAAATACGCGCTCGCACTAGAGCATGATCTGAATCTAGGCATGTGCTCCAGAATGAGCGACAGTCTTCTATCGAGCCCCTCCATCGGTGGCTGATAGCGATGTGATCTATTTGGGTCCAACGTTGGGACGAATTAGGGGGTCGCCATGTTAAAAGATGTTTTTCCTTATGCTTAAAGTTAGTATTTGCAAGGAACAGGCGGTTATCTGAGCATAGCTGCAACAGACGGTCGCCATTATCTGTTCTTTGAGCCACGACACCATAAGATCCACCTAGGTGTCTTTCCCTATCGCTTAGTTTACCTACTTGAGCATTAAAGTCACCGGCCACTATTACTACATCCGAGCGCCTAGCTTTTCGGAGAAGGTCCGAAAGCTTTCTGTAAAACTCATCTTTTACATCATCTGAGCTGCAGTCAGTGGGAGAATAGGCAGAGACGACGAAGAGGCAACGACGAGTGTCCCTATCTTTCCGGATTCTTACTGTTCCGTTCAGTCGGACAGCGCACAAACGACTGTCTACTGGGATCCACTCTAAGAGAGCTAGTTCTGCCCTAGGACTCAATGCTATACCTACGCCGGCGAGGCCACGGGAAGCAGAATCAGGGCTTCCAGATACACGAAGCGTAAATCGAGTCGGTTCTTTATTTTGGCATGGTGAGGTCAAATGAATGACGCTACTCGGATCCTGTATGCGCGTTTCGGAGACGCAGCACACATCGATGGCGCGAGATTCTAAAGTTTTAGCTAAGGAAGCCTGCTGTCCTATTTGGCAAAGTGTTCGTACGTTAAAAGCTCCTACGTGTAGTTTAGAGCGTGGTTTCAGGAGACCAGGAATGGCGTTCCACGTACTCGAATCGTTTGCCCTAGCGGTGCGAGGTGATAAAGAGACGTGAGGAGGGTTAGTCATGGAGATAAGAGAGGAGGTGTAGGAAGGATTTGAATGTGACCACCTTGGTCTCTTGTGCTGTTACGGGTATGAGGGCTGATGTCACTTCCCGGCTGCCCACACCGTGGAAGGGTATTTCTTGAGGAACCTGAAAAGGAAATTGGATTAGTGTTGGTCTTGACGACCTGGGAGCGTGACCGCAGAGCCCAAGGGACAACTGCTTGAGGCCGGTCGCGCACGGCCTTTTTGTGGAAGGTTTTTGACGTGTTAGCTCCGTTCTTCAAAGGGCCTTACCGCCGGAGACGGAAATCCGTGAGGTAAGGTGAGGTGTGACATTTTTAGGGTCGACCTTTTCTAACCCCACCCCTCCTTGTGGGAAGGCAGCATCGCTGTCATGCTGGTTGTCCGAGGGAAACACCTTACTGCTGTCACACCCTCTACAGTCAGCAGTACGACTTCGCCCTCAGACCTTGAGTTGCTGCTTTTAGTCTTACCGTTCTCCAATCGACCTGCCTGGCATGGTAGAACCTACAGGAACATATGTTCCAGCCAATATAGCTCGGTTGGGTCATCACGATAGGCAAGCCCAGCCACCGCGTCAAGGTAGCAGCTTCGGACGGGCGAAATACAGTAAAGTCTATTTCCTCGAAAGTCCTAGATAAGTATGTTTCTACTAAGGGATAATACGAAATTAGTAATTGGGAAAACAAACAGAATATCATGAGATCTCGTGCAAACCTTCGTTAATTCAAATCAACACACTTTTCCATAGCTCAAGAGGAAATCAACAAAAACGCAGATGTTAAAGTAAACAAAGTCATTAGCCGATGGAGAAGGAACAAACTTAACATACACAATGAGTTTAAAAATTATTTGTCCTATCAAGAATAACCTGTCTCATGGAATGTATCGAACTATGATAATTAGGAAGTAATTTACAATATTTATAAACGCTTTTATATTACCTTCGGTAATTCACATTAACTCACATCTGGCTGCATAATAAGTATTAATACACTAATTTAAGATCTTTGGGCTCATCGTGACTTTAGATGGAATCCCCTGACACTACAAGACCATGTGTTTGGAAAAGTCAGTCAGTTTTCAGACAAGACTCAGAATAAAACTAAGTGATGATTGTGCTGTCATTTTTAATCTGAAATTTCCCTATATAATCTTATTATAGTCGGTAATACGATTTTTCTCATTTTATGCCTCTAAAAATCTTTTTATTTCATTCTGACGTAGCACATGACATCCAAAAAGATTAGAAAGGATTTTCCAAATTCACATGATAATCAAGGTTGTGTAATGACTCGGTAGAAGTGCGACTCTATGAGTGACTGGTGCTGAAGAAAGAAATTCTCCGATGGGTCAAAGGTTAATACTCGAGGTGACATTTATCGGGTCAAGTTAACTGCGTATTATAATTCCTCATATAAAGTACCTGAATCAGTCAAATATTCATGATGAAAGACATTAGAGTGCGTTCCAGTTTTTATTGTACTAGGCTTTGAGTTGTAAAACGAAACATTATGCAGTAGAAAGGATCTATAGAAATAGCTTACAACATAGTCCATCGTTTTATGGGAATTAGTCAACTATAAAAACACAAAGTATCTAAATCTGGTTGTCATAATAGAACATTAATAACTTGGTTAACACAAATGAGTATAATTTTCAAGGCTTTATTGGTTAGGCCGATTTATATGCTCTTCATTTTTTCGAAATTGGGTGATTAATATCATTAATATGTTTAAACCATGTATAAATAAAATAATAGTAAAATTCACCTGAGCAGAAACTGGTGAACCGCTAAGAGATGTATTAAGCTGTTGGAAGCGACCCTCTAGACCATGCATCATTACAGATCCTGAAGATCCAAATTCTTTTGAATGATTAAGTGTCCATGAACCACTAACAACGGAACGACTCATTTTAGATAACTGACCGCTTTTAAGCAAACGAGTCCATAAGGGTATATTCATATCAAGTTCATTAATACGAGGAATATTGTTTCCTTCATATTAAAAATATAAAAATAATAAACATGACTATAAGATAGAAATGTATACCGAATCAACTGTCAATTACAGAACACTTATGAAATATATAAAAGTTATTCATTAGTTAACAACTAAAATATACAATTATAGCTATGATACGAGAGAATCATTATAAGTGACTCATAAGAAAAAACAATCCACATAAGTGTTTATGGATGTTATGACACATTGGTACAGATATATACATAGCTAACTCACAATCGACATATAAAATATGATTCAACAAATCAAATAATGAGCATCGAAACCTACCCTTATCGTCGAATCTAGATTAACATTCATCATGGAATATTTAATCAGTATTAGAAAATGGACATGGAAAAGTAAACTCTAATCGTTTTAAAAACGGGTAAATTGCCTTTAGAACATGTCAGTAACAGGTGATAGCAAATCGATTTGATTATAGTTATCACTCCGCTCAGAAAAAATAAATCCAGAGTAAAATTAGAATACATCATATGACGATTAAAAATTACTAGCACGAGTCGATTCAATTAAAGAATCAAGAACAGGTTCCTCTACGCGTAATGTATGTAAATAATTCCATTTCCTTATCAGTGGGAAAGTAGGAAAAACTAAGTTTAAATCTGTGACCTAATCGTTTGAAAATTGAGTCGTCAAACTATCCAGTCCTTGCCTTCGACATTAAAGCAGAAATGATGTATTATCAAACAATAATCATTAGAAAAAAACATTCTTCATGAACTACAGTAGGTCGATTAAGCAAGGAATCCAAAAGGAGTATGCTTCCTTTCAGTTGTGAGATATATGTAAATATATATACAGAGGATTAATTAGTTTTCATTCAGGGCGTCGAACATAGATAAGGTATTTAGGAAGTTTACAAGATATATGGGTTGAACCATTTTAAAATGTCACTGAAACAAGATCGTTTACTGACGTACAGCAATCGATCCGATGTTTAGGACCGCTTAGAAGACGTTGATAGTTTTCTCAAAAGACTTACGACTGAGTCACGAATTAAACATTGTTCCACTTTACTGATTGTGCCAATTTTTTAATGCATATATCAGCATGCACTTATCAGCTAAAAAATACTAGTTCCAAATATTTGTCGCTAAAAGAGTCGAAGACCTGGTGACTCAGAAGCATATATCTATTTTAATAAGCCATAAAATTATTCTAGGGTGTTCGACACAAAGAACAACAATAAATCTAGCGAATCAAAGTTAAAACCGTTAGAATGGAACCTTATCAAACACCATACCTTTGCGCTTGGAAAATAAGCGTTTCTGGCGATGTAAGCCGCATCGAGGTTTAGAAAGAAGAGGATCAGAGAATTTAAGGACAAGGAAAACTTTCCCCATTGGTAACATAGGAAGCATTACAGAACGTGATTCGCCACCAAGTAATTCTTCAAGGCGTACATAACTAGAATGAAATTTGAAAACAGTTTAATTTGAGGAGTAGAAAAATTCGAAGATATATCAAACTTTAAAAATGAATGACATACTTTACGGCTGCTAAAACCCACTCTAATCCAGAACCAGAATCCTCAGACGAACCACTTTTGGATGAAGCAGAGGATCCTGAAGGAGTGGTAACAGAGCTTGGAAGAAACGTACGCTTCCAATATACCTGGACTTCCAGTTCTTTCCCACGATCGATATTAAATGTAGTCTTTGAGTCCCAACACTGCTGATTAGGTTGCCGCCAAGGTGAGTCCCATACACGTTTATGATCAATCAATAAAGAGCATCGAACATCCACTTTAAATAAGAATGAAAGTTTTAACAAGCATGAAATGCAAAAGGGTGCATATACATATATTTATTTATATAGCCAAATAAATGAAGCAGCAAAATGATGCATCACCTGAGATTGTTAACAGGGTTAGTAAACAATAATATGTCAACAATTTTGAATTATTTCTGAACCTATGGTTTCAATCTTGTTAGGTTATAGCTGAACTACCTACCTCATAATTTTTATAGATAACAAAATAAATTTGCCACTGTTCTAAAGTGCTGTATGGCGATGTTGAATCGACAACACAAAACAAACAAAAATTCCGATGTCCCAAGACACTTGGAGAACTTATGAATAAGAACTGACGTCCTATCAAGTTAATTATGTTCTACAAAAATTGACTGATCTAGTATATGACACCAAGCTAAACTATTGAAATTAACAAATCGGTAGAACCGTGAACATTATCTGAATCAAGGATTGTTGATTGTACATTTGAGAATCAATACCCTGAATGTCAAAACACCAGTGCATTACAAGGACTATATGAAATTTAAGTGATTAACTCATCATGTACAACCGTAAGTACTCGAAATATAGCAACACAAAGTTAGGTCTAGTGATATGATCCACCTGTGTAAACGGAATTAAGTGAAGTACCTTCAAAATTACAACCTAATGGTTGAAAGTCAAGTCATTGCTTCAAAGAAAGGACTAAATTCCCCATAGATTCCAAAACCTAAATTAAACTCCTCTTTCCATAAGTAAATAATGAGTAAACCCCTAACTAGCGTTGTTACTGTCGGGTATAACAGTTAGACTGACTGAAAACATCCAGCGAGACCTCTAGAGGTAAAATATCGGAAATCAGTTTATGAATAACCTACCCCAGTGATTCTCAGATGTGCGAGATGTCATAACTGATGGAACAGAGTGAACCCGGGATGTTGATGTGCCAGAAAGTTCATTATTTACAATCTCAGCTGGAAAATGATCAACGATATCCTGACAACCTAAGCAACGAACCTCCAAACTTCCAGTGATCGCAGTTGGTGGACTGGGAATTAACAATGAGCTATTGCCATGAAATGTAGTATTACTCCAAGGTGAGGATAAAAGTACAGTCATTTCAGGGTCATCGACAATAGAAGAAATCATCTCGGAAAGTGTGTTGGTGGCGGTCTCTTTAAAAGCGGTTTGATTGATTCTTGAAACAAATAAAGTCTATGGAGAGATTCGCGAGCCTCTTGTAACGCCTGTAGAAAATAATAATTGCCGAACTGATATAAATTAACATATTACTGAGATTCGGATATAAAAAAGCATAAAATTCTATTAAATGCTCTAAGAAATCAACTTGTAAATCTACAGTTACGAAGCGAAAGAGTTCCCCTTTCATATATGCTTGGAAAGTCGGATAGTACATGTTGTTCAGTGTCACAATAGTATGAGTACCTGATACTGAACCATTAGATTACAAGTTTAAGCACAGGTTAGCTACTTCAGCTAGATAATTAAGTAATATAGGTATATCTCACAGTAAGCGAACTTACCTCACATTTCACGTGCAGCTCAAAGTAAATATGTAAACGAACTAAACTACTGAGACAACTTCCGTATTACAGATACTATTCACTTTACCTAGATGTTTAAGATAGTATGAGAACATTTTAGGTTACAATTATACGATTTCATACTAGCTGTTGGATATTGCCAAGACTAAGTTTCTGAGTCTGTCTTGTTTTTGCCTTTATTAATGTCGGGATCAGTTTTCTCAACATAATTTGCTTCTTGCATACTTGACTTCGCTGTACCGATACGAAATACGATAAGCTGAACTGATTTGCCATTTCGGTATGACTTACATTATCTCAGTTTTTACGTTCGCTTTCGCTAAGTGATTAGTCTAAGGTGAATGTACAGGGAAAAATATTATTTACGTTTAAATAACGTATCACATGCCCAAACAAAGAAAGGCTGTCAAAAATAAAGAACTTTAGAAAAATTCAGTGAGGTGGACGGCAGGCTCAGTAACGATCTTCAAAGACTGTTGAAAACAGTTCGGTTAACTTCAATTGTCTTAGAAACTTATCTGGCTAACCTGGAAGACCCGGATGTTCAATTTATATCATTAAAAACAAGAAACTGATCAGATAAGCAACTTTCTGTTGTTTTTAAGAATAGAAATGAAATTTTAGTCAAAAAACTAAGTAGATGCTTGTAAATAATATAGTTAACTGGGTGTGACAACTATTACAGTAAGTGTCCAACACTAATTATATATATATATATATATATATATATATATATATATATATATATATATATATATATAGGTTGTCTCCATATTAATTCATTTCCCATGTACGTGGAAACTAACCAAAGGACCTGGTTGAATTTCTATCCGATTTTGTATCTAATGATCATATTTCCACATTACAACTCTTAATACGATCGCTCATACAAAATGATGTTTTTGACTCATTAAACGAAACTACATTGTGGAATTATCTACAGGATTTTGTCTAACTCTGAGAATATGCATTGATTACAAAATATCAAAGATCCCCAAGAAGTGTTATTGCATAACTCAATCGCAGAGTAAGGCACGACTGCCCGATTAAACAATTTCCCTTCAACTTTATTCTTGATGAAATCCTATAGATAGCTCTGAACCAGGTATTTGATATTGGTGTAAAGCCGTTACTTTAAGATAGAATAATTAACTCCAAGTAACTGAATAGCATCCTTTCATTGTGGAGTAATATATGAATTAAAAACATTACTTGATAAAAAAAATTAGCTCATGAAACAAATTTGCGTAATAGCGGACAGTTATGTTGTATTAACACTTCTTGGGTAAATAAGATTATGTTTGCGACTCGATTTGTAATATTTGTAATATTACTAACTATCACTTCAAACTAAAAGTCACTGGGGATCCTTCCGTACTTTTAGTTTACTTTCTGAATATACAGTAAGATATATTTTACAATAAGTGAAATTTATACTCGTTATGTTCTGAATTGAACTTTGTTGGTCAATGTTTTGATCTAATTATCTTACGATTTTCTCTTCCCTACTGCTCTGAAACGACATTATTTTGTTTTCTATGATACACTTATTGGTCATTAATTCCCAGTTACTACTTCAAGCATATACACATCGACTCATAGAGTCATCATACACCTATAGATCATAGATTCTTTCTATTTCACACAATTTTCGACTACCGGAGTATAAGTAAAACCACTATTACCCAGTAACACTAATTAAGTAGAACAGTTATTAAACATATGCACCGAAGATATTATTAACCGACACATTTCTTATATAATAGATAGTGATGTTTAAGTATCAGAAATATATTACTGCTAAGAATCCTGAAATAATCTTGTTTTTTTTAGAAAGAAAATACGACATACTGTGACGGAAATATTAATTAGATTAAGTTAGTATTAGTCATTAGTTAGTTAAACTGAAAACCCATCACTTCACTAAATACTAATGACTTATTGTATCATCACGTTTAGTTATTCCTTATTACTATGGGATGCAAACAACAAAGAGGAAGTATAAACGGTAGCATATTGAACCTAAAGATCTAAATAAGCTACGCTGCATGTTTAAAATTAGGCCCAAGGCTGAGTAAGTATTCAACAGTAACATATGTGACGAAATATAGTGGAACAAGTATGGTGCACCAGACATATTCTTCACAAGTATCTAAGCCAATCGTAGTGGCATGGCGTAATGAGAGATCTGTTCTACCCATCATTGAATACTACATGTAATAATACAGCAAAACAAATCAGCATAATGAAAGATAAGAATATTCAATGGCGGCCAATTCACTTTACATACTAAACAATGAAATAGTGCCGCCTAACAGATTTATAAAGAACTGCTGTACTACAGTATTTATGTTTTATTGTCACAAAACTACGTATAAGCCACGAAAATGACGAGTAAAGCCGCTAGACGCTTCGCGAAACGTCCCAGCTCTTGGTTTCTACAAGATCCCTACAACTTGTAGAAGCACTTTGGTCTACTTCGAGTAATTACGAGTTTGACGATAAACGGAAGTTGTTACGTAATGAAACTGTGAAAAGTTTGAGTAAAGACTGAGAAGCTTGGCGATGGAACGTGCTATCGAGCCGGGAGCAGCAATGGCACCTGGTAGTTGCCGGAAGCTCTTCCAACTCAGCCAAGTCATTAGCAACAAGAGGTCTGATGTGAGTGAAGCAATCTGTGTAGCTGATGGAATGCCGACCAATGGCATCTACTGACATCTTGGATAATCAAAATCCCTGTCCTACATGACCGGCGATGACCGATCCACCAAACGAGGAGAAAGTCCACAAGGATCTCCAATCTTCGAAGCGATGCAAATTGCCTGATGGCTTACCTCCGGCTCTTTCTAAAGATGGTGGCGACCTTCTGGATAAGGAACTGAGTTGTTCACAAATATATGGCAATAAGAGAGTGTTCCAACATAGTGGAATGAGTCGATAGTTGTCCCTATCTTTAAAAAGGGTTCACGTCACTTATGCGACAACTATCAGGTGATGAGTTTATAGTGAAAGAAAACCCAGGTGGGGATAACCAACTTATTCATTGATACAAATTGCAGAGTTCTTTGGTAAAATGTAAAAACCATACATTAAATACTTCATTTGCAAATCTTCCATCAACTGTCCTTTACATTCTTCATAATTCTTCCAATTCTCAATTCCTTTATGTTTCTCTTTCCATTTTCTTCAGTTTGATCTCAACTGCTTCATTCACTTTATTATTATTATTGCTTCACACACCAATCTCCATTTACTTGTTTTATTTTATTACACTTGCTTTTTTCCATCTCTTCACAACCTTATTTTCCTGAGGTGAGTAAATATTTTGGTGCCCCCTTCCTTGTGCATAAGTTTATGTTTAAGTGAATAAATTTATACACAAATTTTTATCGTTCAACAGATAACACTGTATCTCTAGTATGTAAATAAACTACGACAGAATTATATTGTCATGCATTCCGTAGTTACTTAAAAAGGGGTGTATTGGGACATGTCCAAAAATGAGATGACGTCTTTATCTTAGCTATGCCAGTCGTTAATGATCTAAATACATTGAGGGATGGAATTATGCACGAGAAAAACCTTACCTGTAACTTCCTAGACTTGTCCACATGAATTTGGTTGTCTAGAACGGCATTAACAGCCTTCTTACTCCCCACGAATAAAGCTCTTTCAACTCGCAAACGGTGGGCTAATTCCATTACTTTATCTTTCCATATAAGAAAACTCTCTTGATGATTGGAAACAGAAGAGGATGTATTTATGGAGCCATTTGCTTTAGCTGTATCAGATGTATTTTCCGAACGCGATCCAAGGGACGAGGTATCTGCCTGGATGAAAAGTGAAAACCAATAGGTCACATATATTTGCGGTGACAACATAAATAGTCTACGATGATAACACAGGATAAAGTAATGGTGAATCGCTAAGACTAAAATTTGACAAATTTACTTTAAAACTTTACAATAGGATATAGAATAAAATGCTAGATTTGAAATAAATAACTTATATGTCCCATGACTAACAAAACCATGAAAACATGTGCACAGAATTCAAACTAGCTTAAAACTGAAATATATTCACGCCGAAGACTAATAAGAGAAGTGTTTTACATTCCCCTTAAAACCAGATATAATTAATACTAATGTAAAACATTCTTTACATGAGTTAGGGAATCTCATCAAACTACGAGTGTATACTGTTAAACACCACTGACTCATATAACTTTTCGAATAACTTAACTAAGGTTATTTTTTTATATTCAAAAATGCTTATAGCAATTGACTCTAACACTGGTTGGGGTTAGTATAAAGATCAAGTTCAGTAAACAAAATACATCCTGTCAACCATCACAGTACAAGTTTGAACAGCACTATCATTAAATAGATCTAACTAGCCAACCAAAAGTTCAGTGCCTCATACTGAATATGAAGTATAGTTTACCATATGACTATATACAAGTTTACGGAGGCACACATTATTTATTTATTTTAACACATATTCAGATCTTATTTCTGCAGCTGATGAAATAGAAAGCAGTGGTCAACATAAGAGCTGTTTTCAGAACTGTAAGAAAATGGGTGACAACAAAGACTCAAAAACTAGGACGTTTTTGGAATCGTAATTGAACAACTACCTTGATTTGATAAGCCCGATTAAAAGGTTTTATAGTAATCACATAATAATCTGAAAACAAGTCGCTCAAACGTGCGAACCAAATACGAACGTCAATAGATAACCACTAGCTGTTCTGTTCAGTTCAGTGTCCTTAAATGATTGAATTTAGTAAAAAGTCTCGAGATTCATGGAACCTAGCACAGTACTATGGCCATAACTGTCATGCTGGAATCCTCCCAATAAAACTAAGTGTCAAGTGTAAACAACATGGTATGAAACTAGAAACATGTTCACAAAGACACTAGAAGTCATACAGGTCAATTACGAAGTTCATGTATGAAAGGTTTATAAAAAAATACCACCATGTTATAACAACGTAAGACCGAATGCCACCTGGACTGGGCAATAAATATATTAACTACCAGTGGTATAACTGACGCGAGTTGAAAATTGTATGAACTACAAACTATACTAACCCAGACTATTTAAGAGCCGACAGATGAACCTATATTATATCATTTGCATATGAGTAAACTAAATATAAAGAATTCCTATTCAAGATGCATGATACATGAACGAAATATTATGAACTGTTGAAAGGAATATTAATCGACAAGTCGGTGGCATAAAAGTATATTATTTACTACTCTGTAATGCCTTAAAATAAATTATTACACATCATGACAGCAATTATTTACCTGGCAGAACCCTTCATTCATTTGCTTGACGCGAATCATCTGATTTCGAATAAATCCGATTTTATTATTAGCATTTTCATACTGCTTCCTAGCTTCCTCGAGAAAATGACGAGGGCCCGATTTGTACGTTTGGATCAGACGCTCTGCCCCACTGCGAACCTAAAGTACACCAGAAATCAAAATGAAATCAAATATCAATACCTGCAGCTCTATATCCAACGCTTTTTGTAGCTCTGTGAGGCGTTGTTCAATACTGTCACTACGGTTGGCTGACTTTATCACAGCACTTTGTTGGTCTGCAAACTATATTACAAATAACAATAACTACCGAAACTGGGTTGACAATGCTTTAGTAAAAGAAGTGATGTTTCCAAATCACAGATATCCTCCGCAAGATCTTGAACATCACTGTTAATACTTTTAATAACCGCTGATGTAGTGACTCGACTAGATTTCCGATCCAGTGTATGGCCTTCTTTGGACCCAGTAAAATTGGGTCCGCTCGTGAAGTCATTGCTTGAAGGCATGACAGCAGATACACTCTTTCCTGCAGCATCTCGGAGCTTTTGAACTCCAGCTTTCAATTTGTATAATTTCTGCAAATCTGAACGCTTGGAATCAAGCACATTCTTTAGTTCTTCAATGATGGAGTGATAAGGCAATTGTGGACTGATTTTGTAATGAGCAGCCAGCTCACGAGCATACTCTTCATGCTCCTGAGAAAAAATATAAGTTAAAATGGAGGAATTACCATGATGAGGTTTAGTCTTTATACTTGGCAGTCTAGAAACGTTTTATTGTTTAGAATGTTGACAAATGAATGTACATATGGAACTCGAGAACCCCACAAAGCGTGAACACAATTTAAATATTGCGATTGTCGCCTCTTACGTATTGAGCGCTGAAAGAGAAAAAACTTCTTTAGCTTAGAATAGAGAAAAATGCATACTACTCCATTATAAAGTGAAGGTTGAAATTTTCCAAGTTGTTGAAACTTTTATTTTCAATGTTAACTATTTTCCGACAAATGTTCAGTGGCAAGCAACTCCCCGAAATTATTAAATATCCAACACTGTCTTTGTTGGTTTCAGTGAAAACGGCTACTTGAATAAGCTTGATCAAGCACTGTAGCTAGATCGCCTCAAAACCTAACTGAAAAGGCTATTAAAAAGCAAATTTGCAAGTCTCAAGCTCTTGTACCTTTGTGTTCAGTCTAATATACTATTTCGCCTCACTGTCATCGATGTCTTCTCTTCGGGTCTTTGGGTCGGTTCATTAGAATGTAACTGATTAGTAATAATGTCATAACACCTTACCCATTGCATATATATTCACAGATCCTTTGCTTGATGTCCTTAGGATCATTCTGTGTTTGTCCGTTGTCTATGACTGTATTTCTCCCTATTCAATGTCCCAATGTCGTTGCAACTCCTGCTAAACCAGTACACCATTTTTTTTGTACCTTTGATGATGAAACTCTCTAATCGTAATGTTTGTTTGGGGCAGATTTCCTAAAAACAGTATCTCTGCTCGCCAAATAAGTTGTTAAATAACGTGAAATTTAGAAATGGTTTGAGGGAACTTCAGAAAACCCACTGGGTACCGTGACTTAGCGCCCAGTGTTACTTCAGAAACCTACTTCACTAACACGCTTTGTAGGTTATAACAAGTGGAAATGGTCTTCACCTTGCACGCCTTGTTGATTTGAATTAGAAGCTGAAATCTTCCCTGAAATCTTGATCGACTACCCTAAAGAGGCCAAAGGAAAATGGCATACTGATCTGAAGACATATCTACCCAACCCATACGCCAAATTTTTGTTCTCTTAGATATATTGGTAAATATCATGGACCTGCATAATGTGACCCTACAACTTACTTTTCTGCCGAAGGAAATGAAGATTACCAAGAAGAAGCATTCAAAACGAATATTTATAGACATTCGAACGTATGGTATGACAAAATTTAGGCTGCAAGTACACAGAAGACATTATTTGTGTGGATAATTCTGTTCTGTCATAATCTCAATTTGTCTAACTTTCAAATAATGCGTATGTATATTTTCGCTTTGCACTTGTTGGGAATGAAGCCAAACATTTTGAATTTATTGCATAAAGTTTGCGGTCAGTTTCTGCCCAAGAATATTTGTTAAGCTGTTAGTAACTTGTGGCAGGCGATAATTGCACTTGGTTTTGTACTGAACCAAAGTCACGTTGATTCTAGTGGAAGAGTAGTGTGGTGGCAATGGTTCTCAACCACATAATGCTTAAGGTCAAATTTACAATAACTGGGAAGACCTTTATTAAACGCTTAAGATGAAGAGAAGGTCAAATATGTGGAACACCGGAATACAGATAGGATACAGCATGATTCAGGTATGCAGGTGTGGTTGTAAAAACTTGGGTTGATTGATATAAAATAGACTGAAAACATATTAGTAGTGCCAAAAACTTTAAGCTCAAGTATTTGTTCACCCACATATTTTGTGTAAGTATCATATTTGTACTGGATATTGAAAGCTTGGTAAGTTTGATAAAGGGAAACTTGCACTTCAAAGCTTATGTACAATTTTGGGGTTAGGTCTATCGTTATAAAAATACAAATAACGAAGTAGACAATAAATTTACAAGCTTAGTTTTGGGTATAAACACTAATTACTGTTTTACATATCTTTTCGCTTTGTCGTGAACGTAAACATCATTATGTTCAACACAAATTTTAGATATATATTTTCATACATATCTGTTTGTCGCGTAGTACTCGTGTTGAAATCATTACCTCACCCCGTTTATATTATATTAAACCTTTGGTTATATACCACATGTCAGATTCAGTTTGGAGTGAAAGTGGTTTGGTCAGTATTCAATATTTTACTTAAACCTCATGTAAAGTTCGCCCCGATAACCGTCACTAGGTAATGTATTAATTAGAAGGCGAATACGATGTGTTGATTATATTTATTATTGTACCACACACAAATCACCAAGATTACAGGTACGTTAAGCAAGCATGAAAGAATAGTGCCGAAAAGCAAGCGGGCAAGCGAGGGAGCGTGCGAGTCGAATGAACAAGCAAGCAAGCGAACATGATTAAAACGTACATATATATACATAATTAGATGAATGAATCATCGAATCAATTAAGTGACTAATAGTAAAGCTAGCAGAATGAATATATGCGTAGGTAGTAAGCAATGCTCAAGCATACATATTCGTACAGGTGAACAATAATAAAGGTACAATGGTATGGATAAGTTGTTATTGTGCGCATGACTCTGTCAGTTAATTAAGTTAACAAAAGGGCTTAACCAGATTAAACGTGAACAAACTCAATTGTACGTGAGCTTCTATATAAGTCAAGAAGCCGATTGTAACATGTCTCTAGTAGAGGTAGACCCTCCTACTACTAAAACGTCTAGCTCCCAGAATTCTGTGATAGTGATCTCGAGTCACAGTTTGTTCAACTATTGTATAATTTCATTAGGAAAAATACAGGATCTTAGGAAGTGAGCTGCCGAGATTTATACTCTGTCCCTCTTTTCTCAGTTTGTAAAGAATTTCGTGACCTAAATTTGAGTCCCTCAACATCACGACCATACGTCGTTTTAAGGCGCAAGACAAATAACCGTCTATCCTTTTCAGATGGTTGAAGAATCCCAAGGCTCTTTCGAGGCGAACTATTAGGTGATAGATCACTATTACAGTTCATACGTCACCTCCAAGTCTTAGTGGGTGGTAACGCCATATATAAACAAACACCGAAACAAGTACGTTTAAAAGCTCTTCCATGCTACATTTAACACTGTTTAGCCGCTCAAAACCCGGACACCGCTTTGCCGAACTTAGCAAGTGTTGCAGACAGAATGACGGAGGGAGGTCTTCCAAATAGGTTACATACGATGCATCATATACAAGAAGGATTATTAAAAGACCCAGTCATATCAGAAATCACTAAGTGTTGAAAGTCTCAAACTGTAGCCAATATATGAGCAAACCACAGATACATTAACAGGTCGCCATATCGACTGAGACTCAAGTCATAAGTCACAGACGTCCAAACAACCTGAACAGTTCTGCCAGTAACACTAGAAGTTTGGTGGCAAATCAACCAAGTGCAACCAAATATTTGCATAGCCTAAACAGACACTCAGGATTATAGGAAACCAATAACCCTACCACACGTCGCGACGGCTGATGGTTAACGCCTAAACAGAAGCCTGTTCACATTAGATAAGGAACTTCAGATTTGAAAGTTTTGATGGATACCAGTGTTATATTTTGTACCCGTCCTCACAATAAAATCAAGCCAGGCCGAAAATTTTCATCGTTTACATAACAAGTTTCCAAAGAAACTAAAATTGGGTGGTTCAGTCAGAAATGTTTGACGCTCGGTTGAGGTTTAGGATCTTCTGGGTGTACACCGTGTCGGATTTAGATCTGGTAATGCTGGTAATAGACTATTTAGAAATATATGGATTTCTATTTACCACAAAGAAACGACGTCCAGCGTTTAAGCAAACTTCAGTTTACTCAAAACGTAACGAAAGTCATACCACTTTCTAATTTTAGTACAAAAGTATGTGATCTCATGTGTGTTTACATTAATTATGTTACTTTACTCACACTTCAAGTGTGTTCTTCAGAATTCCTGATCAGAAATCGCTGAATATCACACAGGACTATTCAGTATAGATAATGACGTGACTTACATGTAAGGTCTGATAGATCAGATAGTTACATTACGGCAAGTCCACATTTTTGACTGGGTTTATTATTCTAGCAGCATACATAAGTGTTCTAATAACAACGTAACCCGTAACTCCACAACCCCGTTGAGATTCAGAGACAAACAATCCACAATATTAAATGACGTAACGCCGGAAACAATCAAACCTACGCGATTTTCCATGGACATATTTTGCTTGACAACACTTTTTTCCGAAAAATTTCTTAACTGAGGATTCCAAGGTTTGTCGAAGCAAAAGAACGAAAGAGTTGCAAAGCATTTGATAGATAGTTGGTGCATTGAGTAGTACACGATGTGAACTTGTAGAAGTGTGGTCTGCTATGATATTAGTACCGCTCCAATAATAAACTTAATCGTAAAATTGTAGATCTGTCAAGATGTAACTGCCTAATATATAAGATCTTAGGTGTAAGTCACAGTATTATCCACACCAACTCATCGCGTCGTAACAATCATCAATGTACGATGAAGAACACACTTAGGCTAGAGATGGAACAATATATTTAATATGAATAAAAGGTATGTGTCAAAACTCAATAATGACCACGCCTGCAAGGCCGATCCGTACTATCCGATGGATTCGAACTAACTCAATTCACTGTTCCCTGCCTTCTTTATCGTTGGGTTTTTCTCCTCGTTGGATGTTGAATATGTATTTTCCCAGTTGTCTCGTGTTCAGCTTTGAGGATTGTGTGGTTAGAACCCAATGCCACTACAAGCTGACTAGCTGTTATGAGTTTGAGTGGCACAGGGCATCAAAACGAGATTCAGTGCAGATGGCTGATCAGGCGCCCCCAGATAAGAGTGTGCCCAGTCGGCATCAATGTAAGAACTTTACAATACTGTTCATGATGGGAATTCATTTACTGATGCAAACCACTGCTCCCAACGGAGTAGCGAGGACCTTAAGATGTGAACAAGTAGCTAGTTCAACTCGAGACGTTTGCTTTTGACATACATTCGTATGATCGCTTACTACGTCCAGCTGCGTCTGCTCGTCGTGTTTTTA